TAGGCCCCAGGGGGCCCCTCGGTCCTGACATGGGGCTCAGAAGGCTGTTGGGGTGCTGACCATCGCTCCTTTCTGGAGCTGGGATGGCAGCATCCTTTACCCTCAACCTTCTCTCAGTTCCTTAGGGGTGAGGAGGGCACTGACTTGCTGACAGCCGCCTGTGCTGGACCCCTGCCCTGCCAGGCCTGGAGGTCCACGTGGGGTCCCTAGTTGGGACTGAGGGTGGCCCCTCCGGGGCATCCATGTCCCTCCCAATTGCACTCACTGCAAGGTCTACTGGGCTTTGGGCTGGAGACTCGACACCGTTCACCTGGGTCCCCGCACAAGCCTCCCCACAGAGCTCCAGGCCCAGCTCTGCCCTCAAAACCACAACAGTGACAGCAGCACTCCCAGTGCCCCAGGCAAGTCACCCTCCTGACAGCAGGAGGCAGGCACAGCCCCACTGCCCCATGGAACACCGTCACCTCACCCAGTTCCCAGTGGGGACTGGATGCAAACCCCAGGCCTCACTTGGGATCCCAACCCCATTGTCCCCCACCCCCCACCCACGTGGAGCGGGGCTGAGTTTCTAACACAAACACCTGATCCAGTCCCATTTCTCAGGCGAGGTAACTGAAGCCCAGGAGGGGCTTTGCTTACTCAGTGACATGGCCTGGGCTGTAGTTCAGGGCGTCACTTTCAAGTGACTCCCAGCTCACTTGGAGGAAAAGACTATGTCATCTCTGTGGCCTGTGCCCTTCTCCCCCAGCCCCGCCCACCCCGCCCCCGCCACTGGCTTCCTCACTGTTCCTCCCACATGGCAGAGGTCCACGCTGCCTCCACATGTCTGCGCTGGCTGTGCCCTTGGCCTGGCTGGAGTGCTCTGCCCCAGTCGTTGTTTGTCATTATGATTATCAACAGGTGAGAAGACGAAGGTGTGGCTGGAGCAAGGCCAGCCCTAAATTTCTGGTTGACAACATGTCTCCACACCCAGGTCATTTTCAAGCATCGTTCAGCTCCACGCTTTCCTCAACAGGAGCTGTGTGCCCACCTGAACATGAGGAAACTGAGGCTCAGGGAACCACTTCTCAAGGTCTCAGAGAGCTGGGAGGGGGGAGGGGAGGGGATCTTATTTCTTGAGTGTCAACTGTGTGCCTGTCTCCCCGGAGTCAGGGCTCCTCCCTCCTCAGGGCAGACTCAGGGTTATCCCCTGAGACCAGGCTGCCCACTTCTGGGGCTCCCACTCTAAGCTCCGGGCTGACTATGTCAGCCCTCAGGTGAGGACAGCATCTGGGGGACAGGGTGTGGGGGCTGCCTGGGGGGTCCTTGCCAGCTATGAAGGTGGGAAGTGGGGTGAGAGGCTTTGGGTCCCCTCTCTTCCCTATGCCTGCCTGATATCAGCCCTCTACCCACCCACCTACCTTCCCACCCACCCTCCATCCACACTCCCACCCTCTCATCCAGCAGGTGCTGACTGGAGACATGCTGTATGCCAGGCCTTGTTCTGGGCACTAGAGAGGCAGCTGTGAACAAGGCCAAGAGCTTCCTCTCATTGGAGGTCGCACTCTAGAGAGGAAGACAGCCTCTAAACAAGCAAACACAACATGTGCATGATCATCTCAGGAAGACATCGTGCTGTGATGTGATGTGATGGAAAGTGACTCGTGGTTGGGGAAAGTTCATGGAAGGCTCCCTGAGGAGGAGGCATTTAACCTGAGGCCCAGATGATGCAGGAAACCCACAGCAGGGGTGCTGTAAGGATTAAAGGAGTTGAATTTACAAAGCACTTAGCACAGTGCCTGCCCAGCACATGGTAAGCGCTTTATGAGTGTTTGCTGCCGTTGTTATTATTACTATTATTATTGTAATTATCCCTGTCCCCATCCCCATCATCATCTAGGGGAAGAGCTTTCCTCTCTCAGTCCCTCCACAGCCGATCAGCCATCATCTGTGAGAGAAGTGTGGCCAGAGTAACAAGTGTCTGTGTGGTGTGGGTGCTTCCCCCAGTCGGGGGGTCTCTTAGTTTCTCTGGTCCCAACTCAAACTCATCCTCTGTCCCCAAATGCCCACCATGACCCCCAGAGGCCTCCCTTCTCTGTTACCTGCACTTCCAATCCAGGCACCACAAGTCCTTCTGAAACCAGGGGTGCCCCTGGGTTCAAGTCCTGGCTCCATCATGTCCCAGCCATGTGCCCCAGATGACCTGGCTCCCGGGCCCTCATGTCTAGCGTGACTATTGGTTCTTCCTTGCACGCAGACCTAGTTTTGGGTTCCAGGTCCAGCTTCCCTAGTTGTGTAATCCTTGGGCAAGTGGCTCAACCTCTCTGGGCCTCAATCGCCTTATCTGTAAAACTGGAATAATAACAATACTAACCTCACAGTGTCATCGTGCTGATTAAATGACTTAATGAATGTACAGAATTAGCACAGTTTCCCATGCGTAGTAGGTGCAC